GACTTCTATGAAGTCGACCTAATTTCGTAGTTCAGAATTTCATAGTACTCTTATTAGGAATGTGTATTTTTGCAATGTCAGCTCTGTTCTTGCCATATTCTGTGAGCAGGTCCTGCCTTATACCAGGCCTCTGATAAAAGGGCTTATGTCCCAGGTTCTCTTCCTACTACTCCTGTGAGGCAGGGAATCATACGTGCTGCACTGAGTGCAATACGCTGGGCAGCCCCCACTCTGCTGTGGGATGTCTATCTCTGTCATTGTTACTCTTGCTGAAAATTGTTTGGGGATTTTTTTTTAGTTTGGGGTTTTTTTTCTCTCGTTCCCCTTCCATTCCCCACCACCACCCATGTTTCTTTTCTCGTGGGCTTTTCTGGTGCCATTCTAGTGGTTAGGCAGAATCCCTCATCTTCCTCCCACTGCTTCCCAACGCTCCCTGCAGCGAAACTCTCCTTACCTTACCTTGGCAGCTCACTCTGTCTCATGCCCTCTCCCTCGCTGCCTGAGAGCTGGACCTGGAAGGAATACCTCTCACGCTCCCTTGCAAAACTCCCCTAGCCACCAGCTGCTCTCCTCACCTAGCTGCTGGTTTTTTAAACCTTTGTTCTCCCTGAGTTAGCCCTGCCCCTGTGTCAAGGGACCCTAAAGAGGTAATAGACTGAGGGATAGCAGGCTAGATCCTCATTAGTAAGTGAGCTCTCAGCCTAGCAGGCCACTCAGCTCAGCAGACAGCCCCCCAAGCAGACCACCACTTTTCCATTAGGAGCTCAGGGAGCCAAGTACAGCATCACGACGGAAGCTGACCCTTCTGCAGCCGGACAGTGTTATGGCGCGTGTCCTCCTGTGCAATTGTTGTACGGGTATAATTTTTTTTCAGAGCCAGCAGTGTTAGGATTTCTTCAGAAGTGTCTCACTAGTGACCACGAGTGGCAGATGGAGCACAACTGACCTGCATGTTTCCTGTACAGTCTTTGCTGGAACAGAAGTTTGGTATATTTATTTATTTATTAGAAATATGTCCATCAGCCTGTGCACTCTGGTAGTGCTTAGCTAGACCAACAGACAGCTCAACAAATCACATTTGAAAGCATCAAGGAACAAAAGGTGACCAAAAAAATCAACCCAAGAAAACTCCCCTCCCATCTCTACCTACCAGCCTACACTTATGTTTCTTCCTATTCCGCTCCTATTTAAGTCAACAGGAGCAGAGAGCTCATGCTGAGTGCTTTGGAAAATCTCATCCTAGAATTTTGATCCTCATTAAATTCCATGTGCAAAGCATCAGTAGCCAGGACTGGCACAAAGGAGCTCTGCAAGCGTGATGACTGCTGGGCATATGTCACTCTGAATCTACCAGCCTGTTCTATTCCTTAGAAATTGCTAAGGAATGTAAATGCACAGAAACCAAAGCCAAGCCAGTTCGATAGCTATGCACGCCTTGCTACAGCGAGCAATTTGTGGCTGAATCTGCCTGTCTGCTGGAGTAGACTCATCTCTGAGCAGGTGAGCGCCACTCCTGCAGCTTGAAAGGATCCTATTACATTATCGTTTTCCAGCCTGTGTCTGCAAGTGAAACAGGAGACAGGGCTGTGCACCTGGACCTGAGAGGAGCTATTGAATGGTGAGCACTTTTTGGAGGGGGGAGGGAAAAACAAGCCAGGAGCGTTGTTATTTTTTATGAAAAAATTGGGGATCTATCTATCTGTGATACTTACCTAACCCCCATTATCACTGTATCTGAGCATCTCACAATCACTGATGTTTTGGTTGCTGAGGCAGTGCGATGCTCTTAGCCCTATTGCACAGATGAGGACCCAAGGCCCAGAGAGGCTAAGTGACTTGCCCATGATCATACAGCAAGTCCGTGGTACAGCAGGGAATTAAGCTTGGCTCTTCCCAGGCCTAGGCTAGTCCCCTACCCACTGGGTCCTCCTTCTGCTCTAGGGAAACAGTTTGTAGTGCAGGCTGCTGCGGCAGAAGTGACACTCTCGGAGCTGGTCAAAAAATAGCCGGCAGGGGTTTTCAGTCAGAATGGAAACATTTCATGAGAATGGGTCAATTTCAACAATATTTTCAACAGGTAAAAGTTTAAACCAATTATTTCACCTTTCTCACTGTGGTGTGACATCAAAAGGCGTCATGTCAATAAGGCCAAACCAGTGCATTGTGACTTTATCCTTTTAATCCCTCTCATTCTCATTGGGTCACAGGTTAAGTTCCTGCTAAACTGCACAGCTGTGCGGCCGTGCAGCTGCCTATTAAGCCCCACGCAGGATCATAGGACCTTCTGCAGCGGGGAGAGGTGCCCCTCCCCGCCGGCCAAAGCTCAGACCTTCTGCAGAGGGGAGAGGCGCCCCTCCCTGCTAGCCCTAGCACGGACCTGCCCTGGACTTGCCGCGGCCAGGGGAGAGGAGCCCCTCCCTAGGCTCAGCCCAGCCCCACCAGAGCTGCTGCGGCCGGGGAGAGTCACCTCTCCGCAGGCCCCAAGTTGCTGTGGCAAGAGAGAGCTGGGAAGAATTCTCTCTCCCTACCGCAGCCCCAGGGCAGCCTGCACCCCAAACCCCTCATCCCTGGCCCCACCCCTGATCCCATACCCCCCACACCCCAACCCTCAGCCCCAGCCCTGAGCCCTATCCCTCACCCCAAACCCCTCAGCCCCAGCCCAACCCCAGAGCCCACAACCCCCCGAACCACAACACTTTGCCCCAGCCCTGAGCCCCCTCCCACATTCCAAACCCATCGGCCCTAACCCCAACATAGGAATCTTGCTATGTATACCAATATGAAGGTGATGTGTCACACAATACCTCCATATTGGTGCACATCACAAAATTCATTCCACACATGGATGTAAAAAATTAGGGGGAACACTGGTCACAGGCCCTCCACCGAACCCAGGATCACTGCTGCCTAGCCTGTTCTTGGGGTCTCCTAGCCACAGACACACACAGGCTGTTCCTCTTTCGCCTCGTGTGCACTTCATCTGCTGTTTCAAAGCATAACAGATCCCCAGGTGTACAGCTGAAGGAGCCTGTCACACAGATTCCTCTCCTCTCCCTCTTCCTCTCCTCTGAACACCCCCATTCTTCCTGTCTTAAGTACCGACTCCTTGGGTGCTCCAGGGCTGGAGCACCCATGGAAAAAAATTAGTGGATGCTCAGCACCCACTGGTAGCCAGCTGCCCCCCTCGCCTCCCAGCACCTCCAGCCTGCCTGCTGCCCCGCCGATCTGCACCTTCCCTGCACCCCGGCCTCCCACCTGCCACAGTCAGCTGTTTTGTGGAATGCAGGAGGCTCTGGAAAGGAGGGGGAGGAGGGAGAAGGAGCGTGCCGTGGAGAGGGGTGGAACTGGGCCAGAAGAAGCGGGGCGGGAAGAGGCAGGACGAGGATGGGGGTGTTAAACACCCTTCTGGGCCCAGAGGAAGCCAGCATCTATGTTTCCTGGTTCTCCCAAATATACATCGCCCCATTTATGGAGCCAACTGCCTCACTGGCCCACCATCTGCCATCCAAGTGTCAGTAATCCCCAACAGAAACTGGTTAATTGACCTTAATTAAGCCTGGAGTCTTCCCAGTGCTTCATAAATCACATACAGCTAGCCCCCATCACAGACTTTTCTATTAATATATTAATTTCAATATTATATATTTATATATTGCATTGAATATAACAGATCATGTAGTTCATATTTGATAAAATGTTTTGACATGAAAATAAAAGATTTTTCAGAACAGATGGGACAAACACCTGCCAGGGATGGGCTAGGTTTACTTGCTCCTGCCTCAGCGCTGGGGGCTGGACAGATGCCTTCTTGGGATCCCTTCCAGCCCTACATTGCTATGATTCTGTGGTTATCAAAACCAAACATTTTGATAAGTCTGAATCAACATTTTTTGGAATATTCATTCTGTGAGAAATTCCAAAGTGTTCGTCTCTTAGTTCCAATTTGTAACAAAAACAAATTTGGAAGTCTTGGAACATAAGAACCGCCATACTGGGTCAGATCAAAGGTCCATCTTGCCCAGTATCCTGTCTTCTAACAGTGGCCAATGCCAGGTGCCCCAGAGGGAATGAACAGAACAGGGAATCATCAAATGATCCATCCCATTTCTGCAGAATAGAAGTGCTATTTCCATCCAGCTCTAATGGTGATGCAGGACATCTGAAGGGACAGCATACAGAAATCCTTTTTTTTTTTTTTTGATATTTTTAAGGTCAGGCTTGACAAAGCCCTGGCTGGGATGATTTATTTGGGGATTGGTCCTGCTTTGAGCATGGGGTTGGTCTAGATGACCTCCTGAGGTCCCTTCCAACCCTGATAGTCTATGATTCTATGATTCTATGAATCCAAGGGGCTTGCAAAGGCAAATGTGACCATGTACATTTCCCCTTCCATGTTCCAGCACCACAGGTCTGGTTAGCAGCACCATGGGCACCCTTACAGAAGAGACATCCCGCAGTACTCTGCAAACTCGGCTATACGTTGTACTGTTTGCAATGGTCCTTATAAAGTAGAGCCATGATTTGTCATTCGAGGGCATGTGGTTCCCTAGCCTGGCATGCCCTTGGCAAACTATTATTAATTGGGAGTAATGATATAGTAATAGCCTCACATGCTGCTCTGTTACTATTTCAGAGTGGTAGCCTTGGTAGCCCATGGAAGCTTATGCCCAAATAAATTTGTTAGTCTCTAAGGTGCCACAAGGATTCCTCTGTTACTATTGTACACTGTAGCGGGCCCAGGTACCATAGTGACAGGCACTGTGTGAAAGCACAGCTAGATAATGTACCGTTACTGCATGTAGTACTTTTTCCTAGGGAAATGTAAAGGAAATAGTCTGATTCTCCTCTCAGTTACCCTGGCTTTACCCTGGTGTTAGTCTGGTTTACATCAGTGCAACTGAAGCGAGGATTGGGCCCTGAAGGACTCTGTAACTTCGTTCCCCGTTCAGACTGGCCTAGCCTTGGTGACTGTCTCAACCTGGGGGGAAGGACTGCAAGGCCCCCCAGGAGCTTTCCGTGTCCCGTGAAGCCTGATCAGAAGTCGGCATCGTTGCTCTTCAGGCAGGCACAGCAGCTGGGGTAAGCTGGGTTGCCATGGAGACGTCCAAAGCAAGTCTGGCAGTGCACTGCTGCACCAGGCCCCAGCCAGGTGGGGAAGCCTGAGGACAAACACACGCCAGCTCCAAACTTCCTGGCTGGGGAACCGTCAGAAGATTTACCTGGGCTACTTTGGAGACCCACCAGCCTTCTCCCTGCAAATAGGAAATCTGCATACTCCTGGGCAAATCCGTCCGCGTGAGACAGTGATCTCTCCGCACAGCTACAGAGCCACAGACTGGTAGGCTGCTTTTCAGAACTCGGGGGGCTCTGATCTGTGCTGGGCTGGCCAACAAGGAAAGCACCGTTTCAAAGATCAGGAAAAGCAAAGTGCAGGGCCGAGCTGTGGTTGCTGTCTATTTCAGTCATTGCATCAGCAGGTGCATGTAAACCTGTCAACAACCTAGAGAACTCCTAGGGGGCAAAATAAACAACAAGGGACAGATAAACTGAGGCGGGTTTGTTAACATTCAGAAATAGGGATGCATTTTGTCACAGCATTTTTTATCCAAGAGCACAGAGCAATCATGGTAGATTTAGTAAAAGTCACTGTTTTAAGGGGAAATGGTGTGTAAAGTCATTGGAGCACAGTTTATAGTTGGGGGAGGTGGGTCTACATGGATCCGTCCCCCCAGAGGGGGAAGGCTTCAGGGGAAGAGGGGGATGAGGAGAGCGGCAGGAGAGAAGGGAATGCATGAATGCACCTGACCCAGAGAGTGTTAGATTTAGCTCACTTTGTTTCTGCACTGCCCCTTTTATGAATATTTGGGGGGACCATGGCAAAAGCTGCACCAAAATGGCAGATATTGAAAAGGAAATAAAAGGATCAGGAAAGAAACTCTCAGCAAACTATGGGTAACACAGACTGATGATTACAGTGGGTATGTGTATGTATGTATGAGCAGCACAGGAAAGATGAAAGAGATAAGGTATAAACCCTTTTGAATCGAGATAATGGGAATGAACATTTTTTGTATTGCATTCGGATGCATTTACATAGCATTTATTGTGATAGCAGCCGTTCAGTGATATGTTTTGTAAATGGTGCTTTTCATTTATACTCTGTAGATAAGTTTATGAACAGGATAGGGGTTTCCTGTGATATCAGGGGACTGGACTCAATGACCCGGCAGGTCCTATGTTCCTATATTTGCCTAGTGTAGCTTTGCTGTGCTTTGCTTTTGTTGTGAGTTTCTTTGATGGCGAAACCTGACAGCTTAAAAGAAAATGGAACTATGGGAAGTTAGAAAAGCCAAGAACAAACAAAGTTCTGTTTCAGGGGCACTGCTGTAGGGAGGAACATAGCTACAGCACTGGTTTTACAGTTGTTTAAAGAGATTGGAGAAGATTTCAGAAGAACCCACATGAAAGTGTGTCCTCTGCTCTCACTGTCCCCTGGGACCTTCCCAGGAGTTTTCCAGGCTCCTCTCAACATCTTCCTTCCTCCCTTCTTCCGCCTCTGCTCCCTCTTCAGTCCCCACTGCTTGTGCTAATCACCTTGTGTGGGAGGGGCCCCGCTGGTAGCGGGTGGGTGACAAGCTCCTGAGCTACTGATAGGGGAGTGGATGACTCAGGAGTCTGAGCATTAGGTTGATACCTTTTGCCCAGGGCACCAGTTCAAGTCCAACCAGTGTTCGGAGTGGCTGAAACACATGAATGTGTGATAGGAAAGGGGTCAGTGGTGTCCCGCACAGTGGGCAGTACTTGGCCCCCTCCCTTCACGGCAGCCTCAGCAGAGCCAAGGACTAGATGGGCTGTGGAGACAGAACACACCTCTCACTCTATCCGGGGTCTCTGCAGAGCAGAGCTTGGGTGCATTCCTGCGGTCACCAGGCAAGCTTACATTGCCATTGCCTGCGCTATGGCAGGAGGCCTGCGTTCTTCAGCCTGGCAAGCCATTCATTAGCCTGGCACAGGAGAGAATGGAAAATACAGCTCTGCTCTGACTTTGTAGAAATGACACCACAGAGGCCTCCTCTTTATCTTCCCCTGCCTCCATCTGCAAAGCACTCAGGTTACACATCAAAAGATGGTTTTCTTTCTAACTGCCAGCCCCATCAATTCCTGGTACTTGAGTCTCAGACTAGGCTCTTTCCTTCTCACACAGCACTAGCAATAATAAAGGTCCTAGAGGCCAAACTCTACCCTCAGTGACACCTGTGCAACCCCATTGTCTTACCTGGGTTTGCAAAGGTTTCACTGATTGGCCCTGTAATTGTAACTGTCATGATGCTGCACCAGGAGAAACAGAATCCAGGTTGTTCTTCCATGGGATAGGCAGGAGTGAAAACGGAGTTGGCTAAGTAAAACCAGCAGCTCTGAACCTGATACACACATGGGTAGCAGACTGTGGAGTAAGGAGGGGGCATTTTTCTACAAACACCTTTCAGAGCTCAACCACACTTCCAACAAGCTCTTGTGTACTGTGGAGCGTCCCCTTTGAGGTGATATTGGGTGTCCGGGTCTGTCTACGCTGCAATCAGATGTGGGAGTGCAGCACATGTAGATGTACCTGAGCTAGCATTGGTCTAGCTAGGCCAGACATTGATAACAGTGAAGCCGTAGCAGTATGAACTTCAGTAAGTTCTGAGTAAGAACTGAGTAAGCACTGGGGGTCCTCGACGGGTCTGTTGAGCGCACACTAATGCAACTTCACTGATGTTGGTTCCTGAGCTAGTCTGGGTCTGTCTACACATGCTGCAGGCACAACTCTGCCAGACCCTCACATGTTAGCCTCAAGAGTTCCCAGGAATCTGGGAGGCAGAAGGTGTCTCAGTTCTGCCAGGCATGCATTTCCCCACTGTCTACTCTTTTGTCCAGATGCTTTCCAGTTTCATAGCTGACGATTGCCAAGTATAGTTTGGCACTATACAGCATTTGTTCTTGGTTGTTTCACAACCCTTGTAAATATGCCTTTCCCAGCCAGCAGCTCATTACTTCTTAGGGAGGAAGGATGGACTTGTGGTTAAAGCAAACAACTTCAAATCAGGGGATTTGAGTTCCATTCACTCACTGGTCACTGTAACGCAGCCTTCAAAGACTCAAGAGTGTGAGCACCAACCTCAGGGCGGCCTGTTAAGAACTTAGACTTCACCAACCAATAATCAAGTGTAAACTCCACAGGTACTAGAACAGCCTAAACATGGAGTCACAGACATTCCCCTTGGGTTCTCCAATCTGTCTCGCCACCCAAGTGAGCCTGCCTTTGTGACACTTCAGTGGTTCTCAACTAGGGGTATGCCTGCTCCTGGGGGTCCGCAGAGGTCTGCCAGGGGGTACATCAACGCATCTAGAGATTTTCCTAGTTTTACAACAGGCTACATAAAAAGCACTAGCGAAGTCAATACAAACTAAAATTTCATACAGGCAGTGACTTGTTTATGCTGTTTTATATAGTTCACATTAAAATGTAAGTACAATATTTATATTCCAATCGATTGATTTTATAATTATATGGTAAAAAGGGGAAAGTCAGCAATTTTTCAGTACTAGTGTGCTGAGACTTTGGTATTTTTTTTGTCTGATTTTGTAAGCAAGTAGATTTTAAGTGAGGTGAAACTTGAAGGTACGCAAGACAAATCAGACTCCTGAAAAGGGTACAGTAGTCTGGAACAGTTGAGAGCTATTGTGATGGATGGCCCTTTATACCAAGGATCTCAGCAGTATTCAGGTTCCTTCCAGTCCAAAAGGACCAGTCATTTACCTCCGGTCAATTGTACCTTAGATCTCACACCAAAGACACTTGTGACCAGTGTTCCCACTTGTGACCAGTGTTCCCACTTGTGACCAGTGTTCCCACTAATTTTTTACATTCATGTGCGCAAAGAAGTTTGTTATGTGCACCAATATGGAAGTGATGTGTGGCAGGGGTGGGGCTGAGGGGTTCGGAGTGTGGGAGGGGGCTCAGGGCTGGGATAGAGGTTTGTGGTGCAGGGGGGTGACGGCTCTGGCTTGGGGTGCGGGCTCTGGGATGGGGCCAGAGATGAGGGGTTTGGGGTATGGGAGGGGGCTCAGGGCTGGGGCAGAAGATTGGAGTGCAGAGAGGTGAGGGCTCTAGCTGCAGGTGGGGCTCTGGGGTGGGGCTGGGGATGAAGGGTTTGGGGTGCAGGCTGCCCCGGGGCTGCAGCAGGGAGAGAGGACTCCACCCAACCCTCTCTCGCCGTAGCAGCTCCGGGGCAGGGGGTGGGGGTGAGGTGCCTCTCCTCCCCTTGATAGCCGCTGCAAGGCCACACAGCTTAGAGAGAACTTAGCTTGTAGCCTATCCTATAATAAACTATATACAGATTTATAAAGTAGGAAAAGGAAATAAGAGTTATTTACAAGGTTAAAGCAGATAAACATATATACACAAAAGAGTTACAATCTTGTTTCAAAAAGTAATAGAAGCTTCTATAATAAGTGAGCTCTATATGTCCTTTTGGGCTAACCCAGGCTAAGCACTGAGGATCTTTTGCTTATGCCTAGCAAACCTTGCCCCCCAGAGGCCAAGAGCATAGAGACAATCAGTTTCTTCTGTCTGGGATTTTATCCCCTTCCTGCCATGTGCTCTGAACTGCAAACTCAGCTGATGGAAGAATTCACTTGCATAACTCATCTTCATGGTGGGGGAGAGTAGGACAACAGAGTTTTTTGTCCCCTTTAATGCCCCACAATAGACCATCTGGCATCCATCTGGTGTCGATGGACCTTTCCCATTGGGCAGGATGTAGCACCTACTGTTGCAGATTAGCACTTTACACTAGTTAATGCATCTCTCCTGTCTGGTGATTTACATAGTCACAGAGGCTTACAATACAACCACTCTAATATTACCTTACAAAACAGGATGCAGATGTTATAAGTGAGATTAATGCATGCAGCAACTCACAAGCCTTCAGAAAAAGACTAAACACATTTATAATCCTAATATCTATTTTAACCACTCTAACTCATCGGTGATCCAGCCTGGTCCCACCAGGTATTTGTCAATGTTCCATTGAGACACAGGGGTGTTGGCATGAGCTGGCACCTGGTCTGCTGGCATCACAGTCACACTGCAGACCAGCATCAGTGCAAGCTTCCTGAACACCAACCCCCACCAATAAGCCTCAACCCTGCCCTGGAGAGGCCACCTCTGTTGGTGAAGCATGGCCCATTCAATCCTTGGCCTTTCAGCTAAAATTGCCAACAACGGGGATTAGTGTCATAGTGGTTTCTGTGATGTAGCTCCTAGCCACTGGACTGAGCCCAGCAAATCCCTTCACACAGGCCCACTAACCAACTGCTGTCAGAGAGCCACATCATTCAATCCCTCCTGGCCTGGTGCAGATTCAAACCAGTGATGTAGAGGTGAAAGGCTCCAAATACTGTTACCAACACAACCACACAATTAGCATAAAATTGAGGGTAACCTCCCTCAGTGGTGAAACAGAAAGCATGTGAACTTGGTTGACATTTCCAACATGGTAACCTGAGGTTTTGCTTCTCCTTCTAGCTTGAATGCTGGTTGAGACAATGGAGAAGTATGAGCAAATACTAACCATAGGCAGGGGATCAAGTGCTGAGGTCTTCCTGATGAGGAACACAGAGACAAAGAAACTGTTTGCCGTGAAAAAAATCAAGACAGATCCATCAAAGAAAATGAGAACCAAAGAGGCAGTGCTTCAGGAGGTGACCATCCTGGGCAAACTCAAGCACCCCCACATTGTAACCTGCCATGAGCACTTCTTTGAGGAGGAACATATGTTCATCATCCAGGATTACTGTGATGGTGGCTCCCTGGATGACCACATTAAGATGAGGAAGGAGGGGTACTTTCCCGAGAACACAATCATGGAATGGTTTGTGCAGCTAGCTATGGCTGTTCAGTACATCCACTCCATGAAGATCCTGCACCGAGATATCAAAACATCCAATGTGTTTCTCACTAAGAAAGGGATGGTGAAACTGGGGGACTTTGGCATTTCGAAGGTCATGAACAGCACCCTGGACATGGCAAGCACTTTTGTAGGCACACCCTATTACTTGAGCCCAGAGCTCTGCGAGGATGTGCCGTACAGCTCCAAGTCGGACATCTGGGCACTGGGATGTGTTCTCTTTGAAATGTGTGCCTTAAAACCACCCTTTGATGGAATAAATCTGGTCAGCTTGTTTTACAAGATTGTGAAAGATGAGTATGCTGCTGTGCCAGAGTGCTATTCTGAGCCCCTGCATGGCTTGATCCAAACCATACTGGAGAAGTGCCCAGAAAAGAGACCCAGTGCCAGCAGCATCCTTAACATCCCTTATGTCCAGCAACACCTCAAGCTTTTCCTTCTTCACCAAGAATCCCAGCTCTTCAAGCAGCAACATCTGGCCAAGCTCCATGAGGAGGACAACACAGATCCCCTCCCACCCACATCTCAAAGTAAGACACTGTTGGCTCACCAAGGGAGGGGAGCCTTAAGGCCAAAGTCAGCTCCACCGTATGTCAGCACCCACAGTCCAGAGCTTTTTGAGCCAGAGGAGCTCTTCAGCACTCTAGACAGCAGCTCAGATTACTCTGAAGACTTTGAGCATGAAAGTGTGTCTTCCATTGAGGAGAACTTAGAAGACGACATACCCATTCCACCTCTGATCAAGGAGGTGCCAAGAGAGATAAGTAAGAGCTGGGTACTGGCCACTGTTGGGGAGAGTTTACTCAACTAGTCTATCCTATGCTTCTAAATACTGTAAAATAATGGGTTTAAACAGTAAGTGACATCAGAGAGCCACCAGGGAACACTGGGTGTAGGAGGGGAGGAAAGGCTCCGGAGACCAGGCTGAAATCCAAGAAATGGAAAAGAGGAAAGTGTGAGATTTTGCTGGTTTGTTTTTATTTGGTGGGGAGAGAGGAAAGGGAGCAGCCCTGCTAGGCCCCCAGCCCTGGTTCTTGACTTTTTTGCCTGTGCAGAATGGGAGGTTTTCATTATTATTTATAAGAAAATCAAACAGCCACAGTATAAAGGCTGGTTCCTAAATCCTGACAACTATCACTTACATATACAGATGTAGCATCTCAGGAGATTATGGGCTTCATATTAAGAAGTGCCTCCAATTTTGTTTCTGAAAAATTACACGTGCGCATTTGTTTGCATAAACCTCACATTTCTACATGCAAATAGGCATCTGTGCATGCAGGGCAAGTAATTGTGAGCCTAACTGCACACTTTCCAGGCAAAAGTTAGAGGCCCCTTTGAAGGTGGCTGGAAATTTGTCCTTAACTATACAGCTACAGACATACCCCATATGAAAGCAGCAAACAGCTGCCTTCCCACATCATATTGAATTTCATATCCACACTGAAAATGCTCAGACCTGGCCTCAATATTAATTTTGTCAAAATTACAAGGGAAAACTATAATTTCAAGTGTTTTCAAATTCAGAACCCAAATACGAAATGCAGGCTTGATGCAGACACATACAACTGCATGTACATCCATGTATGATCTGCATATCTTCGGGATGAGAAGCACAAGGCTTTCATATCGACCTTCAGGTCTTGTGTGCAATCTGAACCATGCACCTCTTGCAGTCTGAGCAAAAGTCTTACCTCTAGTATGTCTCTGCTAAAATTAGAGGTGTCACAACTTTCATAGTATTTTTTCTTCTGCCACCAGGGCTTCATACCAGGATCTCTGTCACCAAGAGCCACATCCTTAAGCTGCTAGGGCAGCAATAAGACCGCCAGGCCAGCCATAAGAGTATCGACAGGTTCAAAGTGTGGTTGACTCTTAGGTTCTGCAGGTTCTTGCTCTGTTGGGCTAATGAAACAATCCTGCATATGCCTCTGCTGTCCTGGATTTCCTCTGCAATAAAATATCCAGGCAACCGCTTTGGCTTTAATTCAGTCTGAACATTACACAAAACTGAAGGACTGGCTTGAGACATGTGATTCCCGGATTCCCTCCTGCCATGACCTGAATCCGAGGTGACGGCTGTGCTATGTAGAGGGCACAGAGAAATACTTCAGTCCTTGCCCTTTTAACCTTGGAACCACCAGACATTTCAGCTAACAACACTGTGGAGGAGCCAGCAGTTGGCTAGAAGGACCTCTCAGGGAGGTGCTGGCAGCGCACTGTGAAACCATGAACCATACAATATAATGTATTGCAAAGTTACCAGGCACTGCTAAATAACTCCACCTCTAAGTTCTAGGAGCATAGAAAAGTGCCCCAGACAAGGGCATGGGCAATTTTTTTTTGCACTGTCTGAGCTTAAAAAAAAAAAAAGGATGAGCATTTCCCCTGAAATTTTGTATGAAAATAAGGACAAGTCAGATTGTTCTTACACAGGCATATAGCACCATGTGGCTCTGTCTGCCCTATGTGCCAGCCCGTGACACTGGCCACAGTGGCCAGCCATGCAAGGGGAGTCTGTGGAGTTCCTAAGGGACATGGGGCCTCTGTGCACCTAGCTCTGGGAGGCAGTGCCAGGCCTCTCGGCATTTTCCTTGGCAGGGGCAGCTCTGTATTGCCCACAGAGCAGGGACGTGCATCATAGGCACAAACTGAGCCCTATTTACATAAAAATAAATATGTAACCCAAATGTTTCCCTAAGTTGGGTATATAAGCAGTAAGTAGCCACAGCTCATTATGGGCTGTATAAGGCCTAACCCTGCAAGTGGTTACTACCATGTACATCCATACTCCTGTTCAGAGGCACATGATTTCAGGATGGGGGTGAAGACACCCAACCAACTTCATAATATTCTAGAGGTTTGCTGTCTAGGGCTATAAAGAGCTTTGTACCAGGCACACTTTTCCATCAGTTAGAACTAGACAGACCCATGCATACAACTTTGACTCTACTCCCCAACCTGACCTACAGTAACCCCTCTTAATCTAGTCCTGCCCCTCCCCGCAGCACTCTCTGCCAGTGGACCTCAGGCCTGGCCTGCTGCCGCCTCTTCTATTGCAGACAGGCATTAGGGAGAGCTAGCCATGCAAAAATGGCTGGTGGCTTTGGGATGAGGTAGAATCAGATCTAGGATAAGATCAACCAAGTGGATGTTTTTACTGGAGACTTAAGCAGGATTTAAACTAGAGACTGGTCTGAACCAGAGCCCCAGAGCTGGACACCTGGAATTTTGAGGGAGCTGAAATCTGGACCTATACCCAAATTTGAATTCTGCATCTCAGGACCATCTCTGGTTGACATCAGTGTTGTCATAGAAAACCCACTGCATTAAGCCCCTGCTCTGTCTGACATGTGTCTTCCTTCCTTTGTTGCAGACCAGTGCAGCTCTCCTGACAGACTATTACCCTCCAGCCCTCTGAGCACAGATTTACAAGGTACCTTCACATGTCCTGTTGGCACAATCCCTGAAACCCAGGGCAATGAAAGCCCAGATCAGGACTTTCACAAAGGCATGCATGATCTTGGTCAGATACAATATAACCCCCACGCCAACCATGTGCCCATCATTCGTTTTTGCACACAGTGCGTTGTTGTACAGCTGGGTTTACGCTGGGAACAGATGTGGAAAAGACAAAATACATCCAGGAAGATGGTTCTGGAGCATGCCTGGGAATGTCAGGGAAGAGCCCCAGTGTCATGAGAGTCCAAGCTCCGCTTTGCAATCCCCTTGTGCAAGTCAGACAACATTCAGAGAACACCCAGCCCCCTGGCTGATTAATCAAACCCAGCCCAAACTGGAAATTCTTTCATCTTGTTACAAAGTTGCTTCCTGCACTGAAAATCTCAGTGTTCTGACACAAGTTGCATAGGTAAGGGGTCCTCAACCTTCTTCTTTCTGAGTCCCCGCCCCACACACACACATGCTATAAAAACTCCACGGCTCAGCTGTACTGCAACAACTGGTTTTCTGCATATGAAAGCCAGGGTGGCATTAGGGGTTTGGAAGCAGGGCAATTGCCCGGGGTCCCACATCACAGGGGGCAACGCAAAGCTCAGGCTTTGGCTTCAGCCCTGGATTGTGGGGCTGGAGGCCCTGGGCTGCAGTCCTGCACAGTGGGGCTTTGGCTTTCTGCCCTGGGCCTAGTGAGACTAATGCTGGCCATGCTTGGGGGACCCCCTGAAACCTGCTCGCAACCCCCCAGGGGGCTCTAGCCCCGGTTGAGAATTACTGTCATAGGTCACTGGCAAACACAAGCCTTCTGGGGGAACCAGTTAGTCCTATCCTCTCAGGGTGTGTCTCAAGTAGGGTAGCAGGGAGGCCTCATCCCACACCTCTCTGGCTCTGTTGGGGAGGTTTGCAGTCCTGGCATGAGACATGCACAGGGCTCCCCCAAGCCGCACTGAGGCCATCCCCTGTACAAGGGCCGAAGGTCTGTGTAATGTGGTGTGGAGACAGGGCATGGCGGTGGGCCAGGGTGTGAAGGATAGTGAGGTGTGATGTGTGTGTGTGTGTGAGGAGGTGTGTGTTGTGTGGGGGCACAAGGTTGTGTATGATGAGGAGTTGCTGTGTAGAGGCAGGTGATACGTGTGACATGCCAGGGAAAGTGAGTGTGTTGGGGGGAGCGTGGAGCTGGGTACTGAGGTGGGTGCAGCGTGTGTGTAGTACAGCAGGTTGAGTTGTGTATCATGGGGGGGGCGGAGTTTGGTGCAGAGGAGCATGTCATATGGCTCTATCCTGAGAGCAGCACCAAGAGCAGCCTGAGACCATACTAATGCTCTTGGGGCTCCCCTGCCCCTCCCGCTGCAGAGTGGAAGGATGAAGCAGAGCTGACCGATTACCCTGATGATTTCGAGGAGGTTGAGGAAACCAGCCTGGAGGAGGTGGTGAGCAATGCTCGCTGTGCGATCAAGGTGCCAGCTGACAATGAGGCATTCCAGGAGGAACAGGTGGATCACCAAGGGCCCGCTGTTCTCTCCTCCACCCTGAAGACTTTGCGGGAGACATGCAAAGGTGAGGAAACACTGGGAAGCCAGTAAATGCACTAGGGACTACTAATCTTCTTGCCTTTCCATACTAACTGCAGGCTTGCAGGGAACGGACAAGGAGGCTAGGCTCATCTGATTCCTGGGCTTCTGCTTTACAGGAGACAAGCTGAGCTGTGAAAAAGGGTCCTCAGCTTTTTCCATGCTTTGATAGAATTCAACCACCCACAACCTCTCTCCTTCACATGTCTTGTCCTGGAATCCTTTGCATCATTCCACACAGGGCACGGGCCTAGGGACAACCTAGGTTCAAAAGCTCAACGTTAGCCTGAGGCCCCAGGTGGGAAGTAGGAGTGGGGGGTGGGACTCCACCCACCTCCCTAATGCTACTGTTGGTACCTTCTGGGGGACTCTGAGACACATCTTGAGGGAGTGAAGTGCAGTCACTATGGCCCATTCTTTCTGCTGAGTCTGCCAGAGAGGGTGCAGTAACACTTAGCACAGTCCATCCCCAGCGCAATCACTGTACACACTTGAAACCAGTGAACTTCCTGATTGGCTCTCAGATAGCTAATCACCCTTATCTCCATTTCACAGCTGGGGAAACTGAAGCCAAAAAGTCATGTGACACACCCCAAACTGCACAGTGCATTGGGGCAAAGCGGAGACTAGACTGTAGCCTGGCTAATACCTTCCTATCACCCTGATGTGGCAGCAGCTGTCCCTGCCATGCTAAGTGCAAGGTGCAGCAGCAGTTTTGTGCTGTAGACATCTATCTACCAGAAAGTCGAGTGAGATCTAGAAATACTACAGAATGACCACTGGGCAGTGTCAGCCTTCAGTCCCTAGTCAGCTGGGCTGGGTTTGAACAAGTGAGGTGAGAAGCAAGGTTCCATACCACATTGCCCAACTCTGAATATATCCACATGGGGTCATCTGAACTCACCTGTCTGACACTTGCTTGCAGGTGGGGTTGGACCTTCTCTGTATGATGAAATCACAGGTCAGGCCCAGTTCACCCCTGAGGATCTGCAGCCTCATTTTGAACATCGAATGGGCCCTGACCACCTGGAGACCTGCTACCTGCTCCTCAGCTTGGACCAGGAAACAACTTAGTCCAGGCCTCTTCATGGAAACAGCCTGAAGGACGAGAGTTTAGCTGAAGATACAAAGTAGTGTGCTGCTGAGTGTTGTTCCAGATTGGCAAATAAGGTGGCCTGATGGCCAATGCTGAGTTTTCACTCCTTGCTTGGTACATAAGAGCAGCCATGCTGGGTCAAACCAATGGTCCATCTAGCCCAGTGCCCTGTCTTCCAACATTCTTGGTCATTCTTCCAACAGCGGCCAGTGCCAGGTGCTTCAGAGCAAATGAACGGAACAGGCAATCGAGTGATCCATCCCCTGTTATCTACTCCCAGCTTCTGGCAGTCAGAGGTCTAGGGACACTCAGAGTATGCGGTTGCATCCCTGACCATCTTGCTAATAGCCATTGATGGACTATCCTCCACAAATAGCATCACAATAATATAAAGCACTGAGCCTGCTGGAATCCTGCTGCAGAGATGGAGTGCAGAAGGAGGGTGCAGTGGCATAGGGTGTGCAGTCACTAAAGTACCACTTTCCAATGCAAAACTAGGGTTTTTTTTCTTTTCCAAACTACATTTTCATTTGCCCTTGGATTATTTTTTGGCCCAGGAGATGGAGCTGTAGGAAGTAGCACAATATAAATAAAGGTTTATGACAGACATTAGAAGGTTTGACAGCTCTGGGCGCTGACGTACATGGTATAAGCAGAAGGCTCACTCAGCAATGTGAAAATATAGACTCTTCATTAAGTCTTGTTCACTTGCTAATCCTGAAGTCTCTGAAAACTCCCCAGTCCCTGCCTATCTTGTGCCACAGCCAAATAACTATTGACTTCCAAATGCTGATCCACAGACCCAGAAGCTCTAACTAAGCCCAGAGCTGTAACTGTAATAGGTACCACTTCCCTGGAAGCACAGTTTTGATCTGGTCTACTACATCCTTTTATAGGACTTGTGTGAAGTGAGGGAATATGAGAGCTAGTCTTCCCTCTTTCTTATCTTCAGACTAGAGTCCCATTGACGGCTGATCAACCAATGCTTCTGTGATTTCTAAGTCAAGCTGAAATTCTGAAGTGGCAAGAGTCTCATAGGTAACACATGCCATCTGTGCCTTCAGAATGTCTGCAGACACCTCTGCATGGATTGCCTCCCACAACCCATATTAAAAGGGGCAGGATCAACTTGAAAACCACTTTTCTATCTGAAAGTTGTGTACGAAAAATTCGTATTAATGAAAGAGATTAGAGGAAATGTATGTAGCAATTCCATTTTGATAGAACTCTCATGCATTCATTAGGGAGGGGAACTCATAGGCAGCGTTCCCCGGGCCTGGTGATGGTGGAGCTCATGGCTATGCTCATCACCAGACCCCACAAGTGGTTGTTTATTGGTAACAGCATCAGCACAGCTGAAATGGGAGGCATGTGTAGTGAGGAAGGGACAGGGGAAGTGTGGAGGTCAGAGGGTGCACATGGTTGTTGGTATTGCTGCCAGGTATGCCCAAGAGATCCTTGTTAAGGATTAGAAGGGAGCAGGAAAAGCCTTATAAAACAAAATATGAAAGAAGCATTGCCAATCCTAAGTGTTCAAACATCGTGAGTCAGGCCCAAAAAATCATGAGCATTTAAAAAACAACTTCAGAGTCTTATTTGCCTTTAGAGTTCACATTTGCAAACCCAGACACTTACCTTTTAATGAAAGCTAAGATTCTCACATAATGTCCCAACTTCAAGACCTGGGGCAGAGGGGAAGGGAGGATGTAAAAATATCTACCAAGTATCACAGGAGTTGAAAACACTGTAAAAAGGAATTTTTGAAAAACGTCCTGTCCATGCTATTTAAAGGGTGCTCTGTCAGAAATCTGAATGTTTTAAAACAACTTGACAATGTCCCTTTAAATCTGAGATGGCTTTGAACAGCTATGACCATGGGCACACACAGTTACTGCACTTAACATAAAAATAAAGCTAAAACTCAGACTGAGTTGCTGATTAATAATAACTGCATCAGTGCCCACTTCACCTAAACAAACTCTCAGTCATCTGCATTACAGTGACAGTTCTGCTCTATTTCCTCTGTAACTCTCAATGGAGAAGAAAGGAAACACCAAAGCTTTCAGTATATTTATTTCTTCTTACTATATTCAGCTTTTGCAGTATTGCTGTAATCATGTTGCTCCCAGAATATGAGACAGACAAGGCAAGCTTCTGTTGGTGAAAGAGACAAGTTTTCAAGCTTCACAGAGCTCTTCTTCAGGCCTGGAAAAGGTAATCAGAGTCCCACAGCTAAATACGAGTTGGGAGAGATTATTAATTGTAAGGGGTTAAGATATGTTGCAAGCAATCACTTATTCCAAATGCTAAATTCTACCAAACAAAGATCTCGGCAAATAATTTCCAGTTAACAATTTATTCTACAAATTTACTCTCTTTTTCTACTTGCAAAATATCCTTGAGCCACTCCTGATTTACTTAATTATATTAGCAAAAAGAACAAGGAGTACTTGTGATACCTTAGAAACCTGTAATTATATCAATTATTCACAACCACAACTATTGATAAGTGATTTAGGGCACCAGCATGGATTCACCAAGGGAAGGTCATGCCTGACTAATCTAATCGCCTTTTATGATGAGATTACTGGTTCTGTGGATGAAGGGAAAGCAGTGGATGTATTGTTTCTTGACTTTAGTAAAGCTTTTGACACGGTCTCCCACAGTATTCTTGTCAGCAAGTTAAGGAAGTATGGGCTGGATGAATGCACTATAAGGTGGGTAGAAAGCTGGCTAGATTGTCGGGCTCAACGGGTAGTGATCAATGGCTCCATGTCTAGTTGGCAGCCGGTATCAAGTGGAGTGCCCCAAGGGTCGGTCCTGGGGCCGGTTTTGTTCAATATCTTCATAAATGATCTGGAGGATGGTGTGGATTGCACTCTCAGCAAATTTGCGGATGATACTAAACTGGGAGGAGTGGTAGATACGCTGGAGGGGAGGGATAGGATACAGAAGGACCTAGACAAATTGGAGGATTGGGCCAAAAGAAATCTGATGAGGTTCAATAAGGATAAGTGCAGGGTCCTGCACTTAGGATGGAAGAACCCAATGCACAGCTACAGACTAGGGACCGAATGGCTAGGCAGCAGTTCTGCGGAAAAGGACCTAGGGGTGACAGTGGACGAGAAGCTGGATATGAGTCAGCAGTGTGCCCTTGTTGCCAAGAAGGCCAATGGCATTTTGGGATGTATAAGTAGGGGCATAGCGAGCAGATCGAGGGACGTGATCGTCCCCCTCTATTCGACATTGGTGAGGCCTCATCTGGGGTACTGTGTCCAGTTTTGGGCCCCACACTTCAAGAAGGATGTGGATAAATTGGAGAGAGTCCAGCGAAGGGCAACAAAAATGATTAGGGGTCTGGAACACATGACTTATGAGGAGAGGCTGAGGGAGCTGGGATTGTTTAGCCTGCAGAAGAGAAGAATGAGGGGGGATTTGATAGCTGCTTTCAACTACCTGAAAGGGGGTTCCAAAGAGGATGGCTCTAGACTGTTCTCAATGGTAGCAGATGACAGAACGAGGAGTAATGGTCTCAAGTTGCAGTGGGGGAGGTTTAGATTGGATATTAGGAAAAACTTTTTCACTAAGAGGGTGGTGAAACACTGGAATGCGTTACCTAGGGAGGTGGTAGAATCTCCTTCCTTAGAGGTTTTTAAGGTCAGGCTTGACAAAGCCCTGGCTGGGATGATTTAACTGGGAATTGGTCCTGCTTCGAGCAGGGGGTTGGACTAGATGACCTTCTGGGGTCCCTTCCAACCCTGATATTCTATGATTCTATGATTTCTTGTCAGACAGGATGCTATTAAACAGGCATCCGATGAAATGAGCTGTAGCTCACAAAAGCTTATGCTCAAATAAATTGGTTAGTCTCTAAGGTGCCAGTAGTACTCCTTTTTATTAAACTACGTTTTCTTTAGCCATCTTAAGATCTGTTTCTTTATCTGGTGATTGTGGGCACCTTCTTAACAGCCTGATATAACTTTGTTTTAATGTAATTTAAATGGAAATGGAAAGGATGTGACTTCCTGCTTCTCAGCTAATGCCTGCTGATCGGCTGCTCTTTTAATCTGTCTGCAGAGGAAGGCCTTAGGCTTTAGGTCTTACAGTATGGTTGCAGACAAAGGCCTTATCCTTATGGAAGGATGGGAGTGGGATACCCCAAAAAACCAAAGTGATTCAGCAGCAAAATTTAGCAAGTCTTGATAGGTCTACTTCTTTGTGTTGGTTTTTTCCCCATCTCTTTGTTAACACCTTTTAGAGAGGAAGGATTACACTGTAACTAAAATAGTGTTAGTGAAGAAGTGTGTGGGACACATGTTATGCTTTGGAATATTCAAATATTATTGTATCAACTTTCTAAGTGTTATAATGATGCACATATCGTTATGGGCTGTCTAGTGACTGGACTCGTAGCTCAATGAGTGAGCTACAAGATGTTTTCCTGTAGGAGCTAAAATCACTGGTGGGTGTGTGGTGAGGGGGGAGGTAATGTATGCAAATCACTAATGCTAAACACAGCAGGTAACAAGTGTGGGGAAGTTTTGTCCCCTGGAGAAATAGCATAGAATGGTTTGACCTGGTTCAAGTGGCCTGTCAGAAAAAGAACTGTAAACCATATAAAGTAGCCACTGTGACACAGGGAGAGAGTTTACTCACCCTCAATCAAAGAACAGAGGTGAGATTGTGACCAAGAGGGACAGGCCCTGCAAAGGACCTGAAGTACTCTGAAACCTGCCAGATCTCCATGTGAAAGATGGGTGTCCACTTGGTAAGCCAGGCATTCATGTATGTTTTCTCTGTAATTATTTTGTTCTGAATAAAAAGTACTTTGCTTTACGAAGCCTGGCTGGTCATCACTGGTTAACCCTGTCATTGCCCCAGACAGAACAGGATGGCAGGTGCTGAACAGAAGCTGGCCCCGCTGAGATCATGACAGTGAATCACAGGAGTCGGCAGCCTAAGGACCCAGTCTGGAGGGAGAGGATTGTGAGATTCCATCATGAGGAAGGTGATGGCTAGAAACCTGAAATTTGACTGCGGTGCCGTTACGAAGGCCACAAAGGGGTCAGAGGTACAGGTACCTGGGGGTGGTGACCAGCTCAATGACAATTAAAAGGACAGTTGTTAGCTACAAGTCACTGAAGGCTGCTGAGCAAACAGCAAGCTTTAGGAAAAAGTTACATACAAACAAATCATGGTGTCATTAGTACTTCCACCAATGAGAGAAAGGAACAGGTGTTAGAATATACTTCACACAACTTAAGCCAAGTGGTTACAGGTCAGATTCTATAAAGAACAAAATGCCTTTGCCAGGAGTGGAGCATCCCGGGATTAGGGAAGGGGTCCCAGGCCTCCAACCACATGCCTCTCTCTCCCAAAACACCAGTCCTCCTGCCTGGGGACAGACCAAGGTAAATCCCTGGAACAAGTACTATACTGAACAATATCTAGCTCAAGCAATGCCAGGAGTCAAGCCAGGGAAGGATCTCTAGCAGGGGTAACACAGATCTCCTTTGCCCCTGGTACAGCATATAGCCCCCTCACAGACATAGACACAGATTCCCTGTCCTGTGTTAACACAACCCTCCTCCAGTGAGTCCTACCTCTGGCACATTGAAGCTGGTGTTTGGGGTGAGCTATGAATGATGGGGTCCTGATGGGTGGTCCCTGCTGTCCCACTGGTTCCAGGCTGCATTGTCCACAGGGGTCCCTCTCAGTTTTTGGTCTCTCTCTCGCTAGTCACTCCAAAAACTCCCTGCACAACCCATTTCTTTCTCTCAGTCCCCGGACAGTTCACTGGCCCAGAGCCCATGCAGCGGTCACCACCCATCACTTGTCTCTAGTTTGGAGTGGCATTCCCTTTTGCCTGTGGAGCTCAGCCCTCCAGCCACGAATCACATGTGTTCTGAAGTGACACCTGTGTACTCCAAAGGGGTCAGGTACTCCACAGTCACTTACTGTGGATTCCCACCCACACAACATGGATAGTCTGGTTGGAATGCCCCCAGCCCATCTGAGCCTCCACCAACGGTGGGAGACCTGTACTGCTCTTCACACCTTCTGCTCCCACTGATCTCACTGGGTGATGAGGACACATGCCACTTATGGGCTCAGCCCCTTGGAAAGAAGGAATCAATATTTTAAAATAGGAACATTTGCACCAGCGCCACAGTACACAACAAATAACCTCTCAGATGGGTAACAAATTCCAGGGCCTGGGCCTGGGCCTGTGTTGCTCTCATACTCTCAAAGAGCTCCCTAAGGAGGAGACCAGGATTTGACTACTGGTGCAAAATTCAGAGACACCTGCAGAAGCCAAATGCATCTATGGTGTTATTCCACTGACTTATGGGAAGTGACACCAGGGATAAATTTGGGCCTGGTCATACCCATGCGTTCTGTCAATCAGAAGATTATACTGCGTGGCTATATTGTATTGGCTGTGTGCAGTAATCCTAGAGATAACAAAGCCCCATGCATGAGGGAAGTGTTCCACTTTAACCTACAATCTGAGTGTGAAATCTGCTACAGGTTTGACTGTGGAGCTGGGGAACACACTGGCAGAGCAGTTTTACTATCCTGGCATTTCAGGATTATTTTTACTTTGCTCTCATGAAAACTGCTATATCATGAATATCTCTCTATGTGTATTCACCAAGTCTCACCAGTCTGAAAGCATGCCTTTCCCAGACAGAGGACAATGGGAAGGCTCTTAACTTTAAAGGCCACAATAGTTATGCTAAAGAGCGTAACTGTATCCTACCTTTCTGCTGGGAGGGGCGCTGGTGCAGGTTTGGAGCAATGGAAAGTTAATGAACACGAAACAGAAAGCCAGGTGACCAACCAGGGGCTTAAATAAGGTGCACAGAAAGCAGTGGACAGGAAAGAAGCCAAGCTGGGGAAGGAGATGCCAGGAGGGAGAAGCAACCCAACATGTAGGAAGGAGCCTGCATGAGGCAGGGGGCCCTACCTTCCTTCCTGGACACAGATGGCCCCCCCAAGAACTTGCAAGGTAAGGATGAGCTAGTGAGAGCACTGCATTCAGGATGTTGGTTGTGCTCATACAGAGCACCTGTACTCTCTTGTGCTTTATCTGTTAAGTATAAAAGAGCATTAATGTGTTAGAGACTGTGCAAGTTCTATACATCACAACCATCAAGTGCCTCTTGGGGGCATTAAGTGTAAACACCTTGGGGTGAAGTTCTGGGAGAGGGAGTATTTAAATGATGGGGGAGTCTGAAGAGTCAGCACTGGACAATTTGGCATGAACAAAGATACCACTAGCATTCTGATCCTAAGCAATGCTATGAGCTGGCCCTTCCTCTGCACGTCTCAGCCTGATGCTGTGTGTTGAAGAATCAGAATACACACTGAGATTTCCTTAACAGATGCTAAACTTTTATTTAACAAGGAAAGAAGATCCCCAGATGTTCAAAGCAGCCAGTTGCTGTTACCAGCTTCCAGACAATTTTCCTTGGCATAGCTCTGCCTCCAGAGTAATTAAACACCGATGAAAGCTGGAATATTAATTGCAACAATATACCACCATTGGGGCAGTCGCTGCCTAGCCAACAAACACACCACTCACTCAGACTCCAGTTTAACCCATGAGAATACATTCTGCCATGATTAACTCTATAATTGCTGCACTGAATCCTGAAAAGCAGAGACTCAATATCTTCGCCTGAAACATTTTTCTCTCCTCCTTAGAAATCCTAAAGCCCTTGCTCACATGAGCAGCACAACTGAAGTCATTAGGCCTCCTCTTGTGAGTAATGTCAGGCCCTAAATCCAACGAGAAGTTTTCTATTTTTCGACAACTCTGAAAGTGTTGGTACCAAGCCGGAAGTGACTGTGTTTGTCCTTCTCAGTTCCTGCACAGCACTCACACAACCCATTCCTAGGATTAATCCACAATTGGAAACGCTTCACAGTGAAAGATACTCAGCTCTGTAGCCAAGTAGGGGTATGTCTACACTACGGAATAAGGTCGAATTTATAGAAGTTGGTTTTTTAGAAATCGGTTTTATATATTCGAGTGTGTGTGTCCCCACAGAAAATGCTCTAAGTGCATTAAGTGCATTAACTCGGCGGAGCGCTTCCACAGTACCGAGGCTAGAGTCGACTTCCGGAGCGTTGCACTGTGGGTAGCTATCCCACAGTTCCCGCAGTCTCCGCTGCCCATTGGAATTCTGGGTTGAGATCCCAATGCCTGATGGGGCTAAAACATTGTCGCGGGTGGTTCTGGGTACATATCGTCAGGCCCCCGTTCCCTCCCTCCCTCCGTGAAAGCAAGGGCAGACAATCATTTCGCGCCTTTTTTCCTGAGTTACCTGTGCAGACGCCATACCACGGCAAGCATGGAGCCCGCTCAGGTAACCGTCACCCTATGTCTCCTGGGTGCTGGCAGACGCGGTACGGCATTGCTACACAGTAGCAGCAACCCCTTGCCTTGTGGCAGCAGATGGTACAGTACGACTGGTAGCCGTCATCGTCCTGTCCGAGGTGCTCCTGGCCACGTCGGCTGGGAGCGCCTGGGCAGACATGGGTGCAGGGACTAAATTTGGAGTGACTTGACCAGGTCATTCTCTTTAGTCCTGCCTGCAGTCAGTCCTATTGAACCGTCTTATGGTGAGCGGGCAGGCGATACGGACTGCTAGCAGTCGTACTGTACCATCTTCTGCCGAGCAGCCATGAGATGTGGATGGCATGCAGTCCTTCTGCACCGTCTGCTGCCAGCCAAAGATGTAAAAGATAGATGGAGTGGATCAAAACAAGAAATAGACCAGATTTGTTTTGTACTCATTTGCTTCCCCCCCTCCCCTGTCTAGGGGACTCATTCTTCTAGATCACACTGCAGTCACTCACAGAGAAGGTGCAGCGAGGTAAATCTAGTCATGTATCAATCAGAGGCCAGGCTAACCTTCTTGTTCCAATAAGGACAATAACTTAGGTGCACCATTTCTTATTGGAACCCTCCGTGAAGTCCTGCCTGAAATACTCCTAGATGTAAAGCCACCCCCTTTGTTGATTTTAGCTCCCTGAAGCCAACCCTGTAAGCGCCCCTCCCGGCGTCAGAGCAACGGCAAACAATCGGGCATCTGAGAGTGCTGTCCAGAGCAGTCACAATGGAGCACTCTGATGGGGCTAAAACATTGTCGCGGGTGGTTCTGGGTACGTATCGTCAGGCCCCCGTTCCCTCCCTCCCTCCTTGAAAGCAAGGGCAGACAATCATTTCGCGCCTTTTTTCCTGAGTTACCTGTGCAGACGCCATACCACGGCAAGCATGGAGCCCGCTCAGGTAACCGTCACCCTATGTCTCCTGGGTGCTGGCAGACGCGGTACGGCTTTGCTGCACAGTAGCAGCAACCCATTGCCTTCTGGCAGCAGACGGTGCAATACGATTGGTAGTCGTCCTCGTCGTGTCCGAGGTGCTCCTGGCCACGTCGGCTGGGAGCGCCTGGGCAGACATGGGCGCAGGGACTAAATTTGGAGTGACTTGACCAGGTCATTCTCTTTAGTCCTGCAGTCAGTCCTATTGAACCGTCTTATGGTGAGCGGGCAGGCGATACGGACTGCTAGCAGTCGTACTGTACCATCTTCTGCCAGGCAGGCAAGAGATGAGGATTGCTAGCAGTCGTATTGCACCATCTTCTGC